CTTGTTGTTGATTTGAGACAAGTTTAGGAAGGACATGTACGAGCCTTTGTGAGAGAACCTTACTAAAGAGTTTATTAATGCTGCTCATGAGACAGATCAGTCTCAAGTCTTTGATGTCTTCGATAGTATCTTTCTTGGGAGACATGCAAACAAAGGAATGCGTGACAGCCTTGGGAAGGTATCCTGTAAGATGGAATTCATTGAAGGCCGAGATAATTTCATGTCTCAACCACGAACAACATCTTTTGTGAATTCAAAGGCAAATCCATCCGGTCCTGGGGCTTTGCTCCCATCGCTGTCTGAGAGAGCAGCCCGGATTTCCTTTTCGCTGAAGTTACTGCTGAGGAATACCACGTATTGATCAGTCATCTCTTGTCTGTTATAGTATGATGGAAAGGGTTTAAGAGGAATATCATCTTTGAGCAGATCATGATAATGACCACAATAGCTTGTCCCAATTCATCTCTGCCTTCAATTACCTGACCTTTTATTATGATTTTTGAGATAATATTAAGCTTCTTCCTGTAATTAGCTACCTTGTGGAAGAAACCTATATTTTGTCACCGAACTTGAGCCAAAGTTCCCTGGATTTCTGACGCCAACTGATTTCCTGCATATTCAGCGCCTTAATCAATTCAAGCTCCAATTGAATTCTAGAGCTTTTTTCATTGTCCGTAAGTGATCTTGTCTCTTCAATAGAGTCAATAATTTTGATCTTCTCAAACAGCTCATCGACCTTAATGTTAATGTTGCCGAAGACTTGCTTATTCCATTCTTTAATCTTCTGTTTGAGGCTCTGTAGTTTTCTTGCCCATATAAAGACAGAACCGGAACCTCTCAGAGGCGCAAGAAACCATATAGGCAAGCTGGCATAGAAACGCTCATCCTCAAACCACATATTTTCGAAACGCCATTGTCTCTTAATCCGTCTATTATCCCCCCCATTCGATGAGCAAAGGATTATGGTCAGATTCGACTCTTTCAAGAGCCAACAAACTACTATTTGGGAACATAGAATCAAAATCAGGGGATATGAGAACTCGGTCACTACGCGAGAGAGAAGTATTACTGGTACCTTGGGTCCAAGTGAAATTACTTCCTCCTAGAGGTAGCTTAAGAAGTGCATTAACGTCAATAAAATCATTGAAAGCATGCATCAAGTCCATGCTTCGCCTGGCGCCAATGTAATCATCATGGCTTTGAACCATGTTAAAATCACCAGCAATGCAGACTGGTCCTTGCTGTTGATGGCAGAATGAATGAAGCTCCTTGAGAAAATCCATTTTATCCGCCCTCTCTTGAGGACCATAGACTGTGATCAATTTCCATACGTTGAGACCCACAATATCCTCAAATTCAACGGCTAGAAAATGTACCTTCGCTTTCCGAAATTAACCTGTGCTGCGATTTGTCCCAGGAAATAAGAATCCCCCCCAGAGTTTTCGACGGAGTTTTTGGCAATCCATCCGATGTCTCTTCTGCCGTAAGTGTTCTTGGCAAGCTGGTCTGAACATCTGACCCATTTAGTTTCAATGAGACCGACAATACTAACATTTTGCCTGTTGATAATTTGCTTTATACGATCCCTCTTGGTTGAATCTCGTAACCCTTGCACATTCCATATATAGATTTTGGTTCCCATTAATTAGCATTAGAATATGAGACGCCACTCCTTTTCTTGCATTTCCTTGGTCCGTGAGGAGGCGGATCTTGGGGTACTAATCTATGAACTTCCATTTCAAGCTTAGTGCGAGGACTTCTGATCTTTCTTTGGTGGGTACTTCAAGCAGCCTTGGATATTATAGAATCGACGAGACCATCCCCCTCCTCATGCTCCAAACCAAGCATCCTTTTGACGGACAAGCTTGATTCAATCAGAGTATTAACGTCAAAGGGGAAGAGCTCCATATTCCAAATGCGCTCTGTCTCTACCGAGAAGCAGGAGGGGGATGGCAGATCGGTGCTAGCTTCACATATCAATGTTGGCGGTGGCAAATTGATGCTAGAATCACTTATCATGGCTGCTGCTGTAGATATGGGTGAAAGTTGAGCGGACGATCCATCGGTTATCTGGGCGGATAGTGTGGCCACGGAACAGGGTGAGAGATTAAGGGGAAGGGGGGTTGAGGGAGACTAAGGATCTTGATCAGGATTAGTTTCAGTTTGCGAGAGGATTGGTGGGAGAGAAGGTAATTTATGCATTGGGAGATTGGTTTGGGGGGCGAATATGGGGTGCAGTTGTGATGATCCAGCGATAGTGAAGGCTAGTGAAAGGGAGTTGCGAGTAGGTGTGGATAAGATTTCGATGGATTGGATGGTTTTGGTGAAGTGTGGGAAACAGAATAATGCTTGTAGGAGGGAATCCAAATTCAGATTGGGTGAAGAAATAGTAGGGTATGGGCAGTGGGTTGGGCTGATAATAGGTAAGGGTTTAGAGACTGACCTATTCATGGGATGGTAAGTGATTAGGGAGTTGGGCTGGGAGAAAGAGGATTCCATGCTAGGCTGGCAGCTATTCTGGCGGGTGGGTTGGGGTGGTAGGGGTTTGGAAGTGGGCCTACATGATGGTTCCAGCCAGATTGGCCCAGCTTTTCGAACCCATATTTTCTTGGAGATGGGGTTGGCCGCCACTGTATTACTACACGGTTTGCTTCCCTTGGAAGAGGAAACATCTCGCATCTCTGCATGGGCATTGAGACTTGGTATACGGGTGACCTCGCGGCAGCCTAATAATGGGTTTTGTTTTGTCGATTCAAGTTTGTTACCTTTTCGTCCAAAACGAGATGACTGACTACTGGTTGACGTTTCAGTTGTCGATGACGGCGACGTCAAGACCTTAACGATGGAAATTTTCCCACCGTGACAGAGTGGGATGCTCACCGGTATTACCGATCTTTTCTTGATTCTGATCCGGATAAAAGGGAAGCACCACGAATTCCAATCGACTTCGAAAAAGATGCCACAGAAGTTTCCAATCGCTTGGATCAAATCAACGCTTTTCAAGTGGAGAGGTATATCATAAACCACAATCCAGACATCATCAGTTGGTGCTTGAACTTCTCCCTCGTTCCAAGTTGTAATCCGCATGGAGAAGTGCTTGTATCGAAGAAGATTACATGAACGGATACGTATGGCATCTGACACGCTAGGAAAAATAAGTAGCCAGCTCCCGTCGGATTTGTCTTCCAGAACGTAATTATCATCAATGGCCCAATTTCTGATCGCCAATTGCTAGAAACCAGTGAGTGATTCCCCGGTGAAGTTATCTCCATCATTCGAGTTGAAAGAGAGTAAGAGGCTTCTGCCGAGTAGCTCACTTCTCTCCTTAACTCCTTCGTTACCGACTTCTATGTATTGATCTCCTTCTTCTTCTTTGATAGTGCATTCTCCAGCGCCATAGAAGCCTATGTATTTAACAACATCAGCATAGCTCATTCTACTGCTAGGATTTGGAGGAAGAGTAGGGGCATAAGGGAGACGAACAGTTCCAATCTCATATGTTTTGTGTATGCGCATTTGTAGTTCTTTTGAGTAGAAATCTTTTGGCAGATGAATAAGCTTCGCCCATCCACCGCTGTATCCTATGGAGGGGATGAGAATTTGAAGACCTTTCCGGTGCTTGTTTGTTCCGAGATCTGGATGTGTTGGCCAAGCCTATTGACAAGTTTGCCGAAGTGTATACAACATCCTCCACTTTGCTTCACGCAGGTCTAGGGAAAGGACCATCCTTTCATCGCAGCTGTTTGCAGTATCCCTTGCAGCTAGGAAATCAGGATATCATCAAGCAAGACAAACCATTTTCTTTTCTTTTCCTGAGCTTGAACTTTGTAGTTGCAGGATGACCCAATGATGCTGCTCTTAACAGATATAAGCTTGGAACCCATGAGTTTCTGACACCCGCTTTTAACCCTCGTGTGGCTGTCTCTTATGTCCCTTGAAGCATCATACATGCAAAACAAAAGATACTCTTTCTCCCTATCCTTGGAACGCTCTCTAGATGTTTCGCTCACGGCTTCATTGAAGCAAACTCTCACTCGCTCCGGTGGCGGAGATCTTTTCCTCACTCTCTCATCTCTCTTTCCTCCCAAAATTGATCATGTGCAGATGACAATATGCAAGTTCTCCTCCAATAATGATGTGAAAACTTCTTCTCATAGCACGAATAACAAAGGTATCAGTTGTTCACCTTTCTGTAACCCACATTGTTGAAAAGAACTTTTGAGCTTCCAATCATTTAATTTTAAAAAATGAGTGGATGATATGACACACTATCAAATTTGACATCATGCATACAAGAAATGCCACTTCACATCTAATTGTTTTTAAATATCTCATATTCACAATTAAATTGATTTTAGGAAGCAAAGCAAGAAAAGTATGATTGAAATTCCAAAGTAGAGAATTTGCCAGAACATCAAGTCGAATGAACAATAGGTTTAAGGTTAAGTGATTAACCGGTGCTAAACCGATATGAAACATTTTAGAAAATCAGTCACCTACAATATGCAAGACAATATGATGACTTCATGGTAATTATGAAAAGTAATACTAATTTATAGATGTACTCTTCCTTCGAATAAATCAATAATGCTCTGTCTGGAGATGATGAAGAATTCTTAAATTTGCATCTCATGGTGGAGTTTTGTTCTCTACATACCCCTTAAATAGCATGTGAAAAAATACTTTTTAATTTGTCTACAAGGAAATACAACATTCATAACGAGTGGTTTCCCAACAAGTAGTAATTCTCCCTAATTCTGGCAGAACAAGCGATTCTTTGCTTTTTTTTTTGGGTGTTTTCCAAGAATGAATGTCAATAATTCTTGCATAAACGACGATCGAATAACTTAAAAAACTAACTCTTTTTCAAAAGGAAAAAAGAAATGCAAAGTAATGTAATTAATTGTCAAACTATAGACTAAGAATGTAAAAAAAATCAATATCCTCCATGAATATTCACAACTTTACCATACAATGAAGTCATATTTACAATGGCGTATCAACATCGCTGCATTTCCAATGGCGTAAAAATCATGCTCCCAAGTGTGGATCTCATGCACAGTAGAATCGACATTAAGGTCATCATCAGCCAACACATGGACAATGCTTCCGTAGGCTTGTGCTTGGTCAATAATGCTACTCTTCTCGTAATTTTCTTTGAGTATTTTAACTGGTGGCTTTGTTAGCAATGGTGATAGCTTTCAGGCTTGTATTTTGTATGGAAGATTTAGAATAAGAAAACTTGAAAAGAGTATATAACACACAATGAAAGATGATGATCCCGGAGAACCCATTTCTTAAATCCTCTTTCATTTCCCAAATCAAAAGAGATTCAATGGTCTTTGAGGAAATATATGGGTACGTGATTAATTGTATCTTTCGGTGAATGGTATGGGAGATGCGAATCAACTACAATCAAGGTATTTGTATCTTTCGCTTAATTGTTACTGTAGTTACCATGTTGGTATTGCTTCTTATAGTTTGCTTGATTATGGTCAATTTGTTAACACGGGTATAAGATGCAAACTATATGTAATGAAAATATCTGAAAATATTTTTCATGTAGAGAACTAGAAAACTAATTACTGAGCATGAATTGATACTTTGTTGAACTTGATATGCAATAATGAGACTTCAAACCATACACGTGCAACCATATTAAACAAACACAAGAACATTCTCACCATATTAAAAAACTAAATATGATGGTCATGTGATCAAAGTTTTAATAGTTTCTATTATTAGTGGTTACAAATTGGCAAATTTATAAAGCAAAATTGTCAAAACAGAAAATGAAGGAATAACCTTTATTTTTGTTCCTCAACTGTGTTGACTATTCTTTGGCGCTAGTATTTGATTTTATGCTATTTTTAAACAAACAATTTCAAATAGGTAGACACAATTAATTCTAGTGAGTATTTGTATTTTGGCGTGGAGATAGGTTGGTCCGGATGCTAGTATAATGTAGTATGCATCTATTTGAAACTAGCTTTGGTGAGTGACATAAACTGATCAATAATCGATATCACACATCACAGGCAATAGAAGAGCCGAACCTAAATACTTAATTAATGATTTTTTTAACAATAAAAGACACTTATCTTTCTACCTTATATCCATTGTATTAGCTTTTTCTCGAGGAATTTGAATGTTTCCCACTTTGATCTCTAAGCCATGGACATCAAGTCAACTCATCTAACTTTTGTCCGAGTCGCCCCTACTCCAAACATTGTGGCCATAAAAAATCACATTTTTGAAACTCTCACAAAATTATATGAGCCATTCGCGAAGCTTAAGTGAGAAATATTCGACAATGCTTTTGGGACATTTTAATTATAGCACAAAAAAATGAATCAATGATTTTTTTTTCCAATCACTCTCTTGTACTCCTGTAAATATGCCAACAAAAAAGCACATTGTTGAACATCTCACAAATTGATATGAGGCATCTGCGAAGTATAAGCGAGACATATTCAAACAATGCATGATCATGTGCAGATGACAATATGCACGTCCCCTCCAATAAGGATGTGAAACATTCTTCTCATAGCACGAATAACAAAGGTATCAATTATTCACCTTTCTATAACACACAGGATTGTTGAAAAGATCTTTCGAACTTCCAATCCATTAATATTAAAAAATGAGTGGATGATATGACACACTATCAAATTTAACATCATAGATACAAAAAATGTCACTTCAGATCGAATTGTTCTTAGATATCTCATATTCACAATTAAATTGATTTTAGAAAGCAAAGCAAGAAAAGTATGATTGAAATTCCAAAGTAGAGAATTTGACCGAACATCAAGGCGAATGAACAATAGGTTTAAGGTTAAGTGATTAACCGGTACTAAACCGATATGAAACATTTTGGAAACCAATCACCTACAATATGCAAGAAGATATGATGACTTCATGGTAATTCTGAAAAGTAATACTAATTTATATATGTACTCCTTCTACGGATAAATTAATGATGCTCTGCCTAGAGATGATGAAGAAGTTCTCATGGTGGACTTATGATTCTCTATATACCCCTTAAATAAAATGTTAAAAAATAATTTTTAATTTGTCTACAAGGAAATACAACACTCATAACTAGTGGTTTCCCAACAAGTAGTAATTCTCCCTAATTTTGGCATAACAAGCAATTCATTGCTCTTTTTTTTCTATTGGAGTTTTTCAAGAATGAATGTCAATAATTCTTGCATAAGCGGCGATCTAATAACTTAAAAAACTAACTCTTTTTCAAAAGGAAAAAAGAAATGCAAAGTAATGTAATTAATTGTCAAACTATAGACTAAGAATGTAAAAAAAATCAATATCCTCCATGAATATTCACAACTTTACCATACAATGAAGTCATATTTACAAATATAATTAGGAAAATGGAATATAGAATTTTATGTAATTAAATATTTCTGCTATATATTTGAGTGCAATTAATATTAGAAAGCAATAGAGTGCATGTAAACTCGTCCTTTATATATAGACTGCAAATACCTTATATTCTCATTTTCATATACAACTTCTAATTCAAATGCATCGAACTAAATAATGATTTTCCAAATACATATAACATAATAATATAAAATTTAAATAAGATGCAATTAAGACAATGGATATAAAATCTACATATACATAGAACCAAAGGACCCCAACATCGCTGCATTTCCAATGGCGTAAAAGTCATGCTCCCAAGTGTGGATCTCATGCACAGTAGAATCGACATTAAGGTCATCATCAGCCAACACATGGACAATGCTTCCGTAGGCTTGTGCTTGGTCAATAATGCTACTCTTCTTGTAATTTTCTTTGAGTATTTTAACTGGTGGCTTTGTTAGCAATGGTGATAGCTTTCTGGCTTGTATTTTGAATGGAAGATTTAGAATAAGAAAACTTGAAAAGAGTATATAACACACAATGAAAGATGATGATCCCGGAGAACCCATTTCTTAAATCCGTTTTCGTTTCCCAAATCAAAAGAGATTCAATGGTCTTTGAGGAAATATATGGGTACGTGATTAATTGTATCTTTCGGTGAATGGTATGGGAGATGCGAATCAACTACAATCAAGGTATTTGTATCTTTCGCTTAATTGGTACTGTAGTTACCATGTTGGTATTGCTTCTTATAGTTTGCTAGATTATGGTCAATTTGTTAACACGGGTATAAGATGCAAACTATATGTAATGAAAATATCTGAAAATATTTGTCATGTAGAGAACTAGAAAACTAATTACTGAGCATGAATTGATACTTTGTTGAACTTGATATGCAATAATGAGACTTCAAACCATACACGTTCAACCATATTAAACAAACACAAGAACATTCTCAACATATTAAAAAACTAGATATGATGGTCATGTGATCAAAGTTTGTATAGTTTCTATTATTAGTGGTTACAAATTGGCAAATTTATAAAGCAAAATTGTCAAAACAGAAAATGCAGGAATAACCTTTGTTTTTGTTCCTCAACTGTGTTGACTATTCTTTGGCGCTAGTATTTGATTTTATGCTATTTTTAAACAAACAATTTCAAATAGGTAGACACAATTAATTCTAGTGAGTATTTGTATTTTGGCATGGAGATAGGTTGGTCCGGATGCTAATATAATGTAGTATGCATATATTTGAAACTAGCTTTGGTGAGTGATATAAACTGATCAATAATCGATATCACACATCACAAGCTATAGAAGAGCCGAACCTAGATACTTAATTAATGATTTTTTTAACAATAAAAGACACTTATCTTTCTACCTTATATCCATTGTAGTAGCTTTTTCTCGAGGAATTTGAATGTTTCCCACTTTGATCTCTAAGCCATGGACATCAAGTCAACTCATCTAACTTTTGTCCGAGTCGCCCCTACTCCAAACATTGTGGCCATAAAAAATCACATTCTTGAAACTCTCACAAAATTATATGAGCCATTCGCGAAGCTTAAGTGAGAAATATTCGACAATGCTTTTGGGACATTTTAATTATAGCACAAAAAAATGAATCAATGATTTTTTTTTCCAATCACTCTCTTGTACTCCTGTAAATATGCCAACAAAAAAGCACACTGTTGAACATCTCACAAATTGATATGAGGCATCTGCGAAGTATAAGCGAGACATATTCAAACAATGCATGATCATGTGCAGATGACAATATGCACGTCCCCTCCAATAAGGATGTGAAACATTCTTCTCATAGCACGAATAACAAAGGTATCAATTATTCATCTTTCTATAACACACAGGATTGTTGAAAAGATCTTTCGAACTTCCAATCCATTAATATTAAAAAATGAGTGAATGATATGACACACAATCAAATTTAACATCATAGATACAAAAAATGTCACTTCACATCGAATTGTTCTTAGATATCTCATATTCACAATTAAATTGATTTTAGAAAGCAAAGCAAGAAAAGTATGATTGAAATTCCAAAGTAGAGAATTTGACCGAACATCAAGGCGAATGAACAATAGGTTTAAGGTTAAGTGATTAACCGGTACTAAACCGATATGAAACATTTTGGAAAACCAATCACCTACAATATGCAAGAAGATATGATGACTTCATGGTAATTCTGAAAAGTAATACTAATTTATATATGTACTCCTTCTACGAATAAATTAATGATGCTCTGCCTAGAGATGATGAAGAAGTTCTCATGGTGAAATTATGATTCTCTATATACCCCTTAAATAAAATGTTAAAAAATAATTTTTAATTTGTCTACAAGGAAATACAACACTCATAACTAGTGGTTTCCCAACAAGTAGTAATTCTCCCTAATTTTGGCAGAACAAGCAATTCATTGCTCTTTTTTTTCTATTGGAGTTTTTCAAGAATGAATGCCAATAATTCTTGCATAAGCGGCGATCTAATAACTTAAAAAACTAACTCTTTTTCAAAAGGAAAAAAGAAATGCAAAGTAATGTAATTAATTGTCAAACTATAGACTAAGAATGTAAAAAAAAAAATCAATATCCTCCATGAATATTCACAACTTTACCATACAATGAAGTCATATTTACAAATATAATTAGGAAAATGGAATATAGAATTT